TATATATATATATATATATATATATATATATATATATATATTCATAACAGAGAATGTTAAACTACCAACATTATCAAATGAATTTATCTTAATTAAATTGGTGAATACAATGTATTTGTATTGCTAAAAGTAAAATATTTCAATTATACCAGTAATATCCGAAATATTGGTATTCGTATCTTTCGGTGACCCAAACACCTCAGACCACCCATTCTAAAAGCATTAGTTGTAATATAATACTTCACTTCTAAATAACACTCATGTTAAAAGACCCTTTAACTCACAAAGGGATGAAGAAAAACAAAATCATGGTAAGCTCATAGAAGCATATAATTTAAAAACTATACATATATATCACATGATATTGTGATTACTGAATATCGTTGGTCAATACACTTGTACAGAAGATATGATAAGCAATAGTATCTTATCAATGAGTGGGGGCAGGAAGAGATTATTATGGAATAATGAACTCGCCACCATAAACAGATGTTACAATCATACTTGTATCAAACATAAACTACATTTTATACACCACTCTTCAAACTTCCTATTTATCAACACAGGCTTGTAGTTGGGAGATCTTGTTCCAAACATGTCAGTTGGATATAAATTATTTAAACATATATATATAAACTCATACAGGTCCTAATTAATATCAATAATTCAATCACTCTGTTACCAGGCAACACACTAAAGCTATTATTACACCCAACCATTCTGTTACTAAGTAACTATCATTAATGTTCTCACTACTTCAAATACTCTGTTACTAGGCAACAGCCATCAGTAATGTCACTACTACCACAATCTTCCTGTTACTAGGTAAAAAATCACTAAAGTTGTCCAAACATTCTGTTACTAGGTAAAAAGTCATCAATATCATTACTATCTTAGCCATTCTGTTACTAGGTAACAATCACAAATGTTATCACCACCTCAAACATTCTGTTACTATGTAATAATCACAAATATTATCACCACCTCAAACATTCTGTTACCAAGTAACAATCACAAATATTATCACCACCTCAAACATTCTGTTACCAAGTAACAATCACAAATATTATCACCACTTCAAACATTTTGTTACTAGGTAACAGCCATCAATAATGTCACTACTACCACATCTTCCTGTTACTAGGTAAAATATCGCTAAAGTTAGCAGTACTTCAAACATTCTGTTACTAAGTAACAATCACAAATGTTATCACCAATTCAGTGTGTTAGTAGACATTTCAGTTACATTGACAAGCTTTACATTATTGAACGTACTCTTAGTAGAACAGCCGAAGTTCTTGGTTAATACATAACAGACCAAACTGCATGATAAGTACTTCTCATTACACCTTATTTAGAGGATCATTGTAATGCACAACTTTCATGTACGGTACTCTAACCTTTATAAATCCAAGCAACCGTCTATAAATTTTCAGCTACACTGACAGAAACATGAAAGCCAACTTTTAAAACATCATTTTCCTTTGAAACTATCTTTAGAAGTTACAAGTTTTCTGAATTACAGCATTCACTCACGGTATTTGTAACATTTTTTTACAAACAATAATCCTATTCACCTTTAATTCATGCACACATATTTACTTTGGCATAGGAGGTAAATCTTGAGCAATAATTTAAAGATATTCTGCAGTCACGCAGTTAGCTGATAACAAAATGTACTTTAGAAGTCAGTATCAGACAGTAAAAATAAGGAACGGTATCTTTATCACACTGTATTAACTGATGTATAAATTCTAAGTATGTGTGCTCGAAAATAAATATTTAAGCATTTTTGCAGACCATGTCATGATTGGTAGCATTACTTCCGATCTTACTTACGACTTTTCCCATTTCTACTTGGTCTGTAACATTTAGCTTCATCAAATCGCCAAACTTCGAAAAAAAAGAAAAGTAAAAAAAAAAAAAAAGCTTTGTTTATTTTAAAATTAATTGTTGAAGTTTAATAGTATGAGAACTATACTGTTAAAAGAGGCAACAAACAAAGAAAAATAAATAACATTTGTCATGGTGGATTATATATTTTTATCTGAAGCTTCTACTGTTTAATAATCGTAACTGGCTTGAGTATACTTTTCTAGCAATACACTGTGTCATACGCTTGAATATAACCTTGACTTTGGAGTACATACAGTCGTCGTTCCACGGCTTCCTTATCTAAAGAACATCGACAAGAAGTGGAAATCAGCCACAGTTATGCATACCGATAGTTTATTTTTATTTTCGCTCTAACTAAATATTATATGTCTACGACAATAACAAAAAATAGTATGAAAATTAATGAAAGTTTATCAGAGCAAATAATTATTTTTTTACTTTTACAGTAATAATAACTATAAAAGGAAAAAACAATACAAAATATTCGTGTTAGTTGTTTGTTCATATCAGCTGTACTTCTTTCTATAAATCTAAAAAAAAATAACCAAACTTTCATTAAAAGAAAATAATTCCAAGGTAACGAGCCTTTAGGCAACCAAAAGAAAAGACATTAAAAAGATAAAGGTATGGGGAGAAAATGCTAACAAATAAGTCAATTCCAAATAATGACTAAAAAACAAACCCCTTTTATAAAAACTTTAAATTTAAAGTAAATATCAAATTTAAAAGCAGCTAAAAGTTAGGAAAAACAAGAAACTAAACTAAAGTAGGTAGTAAAAAGGAATGATGGTTAGAGTTATGTTTGTTTGTTTGTTTTTGAATTTCGCACAAAGCTACACGAGGGCTATCTGTGCTAGCCATCCCTAATTTAGCAGTGTAAGACTAGAGGGAAGGCAGCTAGTCATCACCACCACCAACTCTTGGGCTACTCTTTTACCAACGAATAGTGGGATTGACCATAACGTTATAATGCCCCCACGACTGAAAGGGTGAACATGTTTGGTGTGACGAATCCCGTGACCCTCAGATTGTGAGTCGAGCGCCCTAACCACCTGGCCGTGCTGGGCCTTAGAGTTATGTATATAATACAAGTGCTTTAATAAAGTCAAAAGATTTAGTCTAATGAATACTGTGTTAAACATGTCTAGGCTTTCTCCCAACAGTATAATATTGTTATTTACCTATTGAAGAAGTAAATACTGATTACGCTATTAATTTTTAACCCCCACCTTCACCCCCCCCGGAGGCTCAAAGGTTAGTCTGAGGGTTTATAATGCTAAAAATTGGATTTTGATGCCAATAGCCCGTTGTGTAGCTACAAACAGAAACATACTAATCTTCACTTCAGGTTAAAAGGGCAGAAATTAAAACAAAAATGTAATAAAGACCATGTAGAAAAGTTATAAGTTATTACTAGAATTTTATGAAACTTCACAGAAACATAATTGTAAAAACTTACATATTACAGACTACATGCAAAATTCTTTCATGACATAATTTATATTACCGAGATTTAAAAAATAGATAAAACAGTACGTCTTTCTAGTCCGAACTTACATTTGTTTAAAAGTTTCTTGTCCTCGTCATTAGCGATTTGTTGTGCTAAGCTGTGGAAAAGTATCTGTGCTGTTTGGTAACGACGGAAACACTAGAACAGAAAAACTTAAAGGTTACAGTTAACACTAAAAAGTATGGATTTTTTACTGCTGAAATATTATTAATTTGGAAAACATTTGGAATGGTTTCTCAGCTTTCTTATCTAATATTTACTTTCTAACAAAACACTAAAATTTAATGCAAAGTAGAATTTGAAATGGTCCACCAACTGCAAAAAAACATTATAAATCATAACATAAAAATTAATTTTTTTAAATGGCTGTCTAAAAACAGTTGTGTGTATATAAGTTGCATAAATTTTGAAAATTCTGATAAGGGGCTGTGTAACAGGAATTCCAAGTCATGTATATAGCTCAATATAATAAATAAGAAGTTTGACAAGACAAAGAATGCTGGGTCATATTAATTAATTGTTTTTCTATAAATAATGTGTTTTGTAAGTTTCAAATGTTTAATCCTAATGCAGGAGTTTAGTAGACAATCAAAACTAACAAATAGTTTCCCCAACATAAGGGGTCGTCTCGATGCTTTCCTAGAAAGTGGGACTTATGTGTGAATAGACATTAAGCAACACAATTTATATATATAAATATTAGGGAGGGATACTTTCCTGAAACATTTCAGTACACTATTCAAAAACCTTTTTAAAGGGTGTAACATGACTTTTTTAACCACAGTGAACTATGCAAAACATGCATGTAAGAACATTAAAATACTGAAGAGTTTATTGCCAAAGTTATTTGTTTTCCTGGGAAGGGGCACCTTACTATCATTAGACGACTGCTTGGAAGCATGTTGGAAGGGTGGAAAAAAAGGCTTATCTGCAGCAGAAAAATGATACATGAACACAATGTGATTACATCTTCTGTCATCTTGGCCAGTGTAACGTATCACACCCTGCCTAGTAAACTAGTCCACTGGCATGCTCTAGTAATGGAACACAGCAATGCTGCTTCACACACACATATTGGTAGTACAGTACTGTACAGTAATTGGTGAACAGTACACCTGCTAAAGTAGTCTCACAATGTTTTAACACTCTAGTAAGGAAACAAGGCAACATTGTTTTAGAAATATTGGTAGTAATTGGTAAATATGACACCTGGAAAAGTAGTCGATCACACTGGAACACTCTAGTAAGGAAACAAGGCAACATTGTTTTAAAAATATTGGTAGTAATTGGTAAATATGACACCTGGAAAAGTAGTCGATCACACTGGAACACTCTAGTAAGGAAACAAGGCAACACTGTTTGAAACATGGGTAGTAACTGACGAAAGCTCTAATAGTGAAACGACACAAAGTGATGCAGAATATAACAGGGACCCAGTGTATTTGACCAGACAGACTAGGAGGAATTGCCCACACACAGAATGGACTATAAGGGTTGCCTAGACACAGGCTATGAAGAGTTGAGCAAAAACAGACTATAAAGAGTTGACCAGATACAGACTACGAAGAGTTGATCAGATACAGTCTACGAAGAGTTGATCAGATACAGTCTACGAAGAGTTGACCAGATACAGACTACGAAGAGTTGATCAGATACAGACTATGAGGAGTTGATCAGAAATAAGATATAAGGAGTCGACCAGATACAGACTATGAGGAGTTGATCAGAAATAAGATATAAGGAGTTGACCAGATACAGACTATGAGGAGTTGATCAGAAATAAGATATAAGGAGTTGACCAGATACAGACTATGAGGAGTTTATCAGAAATAAGATATAAGGAGTTGACCGGATACAGACTATGAGGAGTTGATCAGAAATAAGACATAACAAGTTGACCAGATACAGACTATGAGGAGTTGATCAGAAATAAGATATAAGGAGTTGACCAGATACAGACTATGAGGAGTTGATCAGAAATAAGATATAAGGAGTTGACCAGATACAGACTATGAGGAGTTGATCAGAAATAAGATATAAAGAGTTGACCAGATACAGACTATGAGGAGTCGACCAGATACAGACTATGAGGAGTTGATCAGAAATAAGATACAAGGAGTCGACCAGATACAGACTATGAGGAGTTGATCAGAAATAAGATATAAGGAGTCAACCAGATACAGACTATGAAGAGTTGATCAGAAATAAGATATAAAGAGTTGACCAGATACAGACTATGAGGAGTTGATCAGAAATAAGATATAAAGAGTTGACCAGATACAGACTATGAGGAGTTGAACAGAAATAAGATATAAGGAGTCGACCAGATACAGACTATGAAGAGTTGATCAGAAATAAGATATAAGGAGTCGACCAGATACAGACTATGAGGAGTTGATCAGAAATAAGATATAAGGAGTCGACCAGATACAGACTATGAGGAGTTGATCAGAAATAAGATATAACAAGTTGACCAGATACAGACTACGAAGAGTTGATCAGATACAGACTATGAGGAGTTGATCAGAAATAAGATATAAGGAGTCAACCAGATATAGACTATGAGGAGTTGATCAGAAATAAGATATAAGGAGTCAACCAGATACAGACTATAAAGAGTTGATCAGAAATAAGATATAAGGAGTCAACCAGATACAGACTATGAGGAGTACAGGTTCACTTAAGTCCATTTAAATCAGGAATGAAAGACATAAAACTGAAAGCAACAAAGTTATACTACCAGAAGGAGTTATTTATATATATAACTTCATAAGAAATGTTTTACAACTTTAATTCCATATTAACAAGACACAAGTACAACATAATTACCTCTTGTGAGTTTCCAAAGTTTATATATAACATAACATCATCGTAAGTTTTATTCAACTTTAATTCCGTAATAACAAGACACGAGTACAACATAATTACCTCTTGTGAGTTTCCAAAGTTTATATATAACATAACATCATCGTAAGTTTTATTCAACTTTAATTCCATATTAACAAGACACGAGTACAACATAATTACCTCTTGTGAGTTTCCAAAGTTTATATATATAACATAACATCATCGTAAGTTTTATTCAACTTTAATTCCTTAATAACAAGACACAAGTACAACATAATTACCTCTTGTGAGTTTCCAAAGTTTATATATAACATAACATCATCGTAAGTTTTATTCAACTTTAATTCCATATTAACAAGACACGAGTACAACATAATTACCTCT